CATTGTCTTCCCTCTTGGTGGAAGTATAAACTGACATGGCCTTTTTAGAGGGCAGTTTGACATTATCTGACTAAATTTAAAGTGTTCAGAAGACATAAGAATTGTTCCTGATGGTGAAATGATGGAAACAATCCATCTTAATAGGGGCATAATTAAAATGTTTTGTAATTCAGTTTTCAGTTCAGCTATTTATAGAAAGGAGGTAGAGGTATTTTTACAGACACAGAAAGCTCTCCAAGACATTGCTAAATCAAGAAAGCAGGTAGCAAACATTATATATAACATGATGCAGTTTATATGTTTTGTTTGTTTGTTTTTTTCTTTTCTTTTTTTTAATTGTACTTCAGGTGAAGGTTTACAGAACAAATAGTTTCTCATGAAACAGTAGTACACATATTGTTTTATGACATTGGTTAACAACCCCATGACATGTCAACCCACTCCCTTCTCGGCCTTTTTTTTTTTTTTTTTTTTTTTTTTGTGAAAATATAGCAATTTATGTATTTTTTAAAAATCCCTTTTCTGTGTGTATGAAAAGCTATACATGTACATAGATGCACAGAAAAAGGTCTATAGAAGGATATGCACAAAACTGTTAAAAGTGGCTTCTTCTGAGTTGGATGTTAGGATTTGGGAGAAAAGGTTAAAGCATCCTTTTATGTTTTTATTCTATTTTCTTTTGTTTACATTTTTACAAATGTATAGCTGGATGATCATCTTAACTATAAGAAGGAAGGAAGAAACTTTTAGATGAAAGTAATTTGGTATCATTCCTGGAATATGGTGACAGACTTATTGCTATTTAACCATCACATTAATTCAGAAAGAAAAAATCTTCATGAGCTTTAGTTGTACTGGGAAAATTATTTTTTTGCTTTACTGACACCTTGTGGCCAGGATGGTTATCTCACCAAGATCTTTAAAGTATACATTCATTTCCTGTCAGTGGACAGTTGTTGAGCACTTAAACAGTATGTTTATCCAAAAGATACAGTCAGCTTTCATTAAACTGTACTAATAGAGTGCAACCCAGCACCAATACTTTAAAAATAATTTTATACTTTGGCTTTAGATAGTATACTATAAAGGTAAATATAAAGAAAAAATATGTCATTAGTAGTCTACCCAGAGATATTCCCTATCAATGTTTTGATGTTTTATCTACTGGCCTTTTTTGTATGCATATATCCATTCATTTATACATTTATTCAGTAAATATTTATTGAACATCTACTATTTGCCAGGCACTGTTTCGAACACTGAAGCTACAATGGTGAGCGTAAATTCTGTCCTTACAGACCTTATAGTCTGTGGGTAAGACAGATAACCAGGGAGAATGTGGTATTAGATGAAGCTGGAGAGATAAAAAGGGACCCAATCAGGTAGCCTCTTGTAGGCCATAGTAAAAAACCAAAAAAAAAAACCATTGCCATCAAGTCAATTCTGACATAGTGACCCTATAGTAAGTTTCCCCTTTATCCTAAGAGCAGTGGAAAGGAAGGTGCGTTACATTTTGAAGTTTGTTCTTAATAAGCCAGAGAAAAAGCTGTTGTGTTCCAAAGAAATGAAAACAGTTTGAATCAGAGTAGTTATGATGAAGGTGGAGAAGAGCTGGTGAATCCCAAAGAGATTTAGAATGCAAAGGCTGCAAGCTTTGTTGATGAATTTGGATATAAGAAGAGAAAGAGGAGGTGTCAAGGATGACTTGTAAGTTTCTGGTTTGCACACTGGGATAATGGTGCCATTCTGTGAGATAGGACTGGAGTAAAACCAGATTTGGAGAGAAGATTACTAGTTTAATTTTGGACATAATGCATTTGAGGTACCTTTGAGATATCCAAGAGAAAATGCTCTGTAGGCCACTGCATATATAAGTACAGTCAGTAAATTCAGAAGTCTGTTTGATAGCTGATGGGCATGGATGACAGTGTTCCAGAGGGGAGAGGTCCGGAGTATTACCTGCTGCTGAGAAGGTCAAGTAAGGTGAAGACTGAAAAATCTCAGTTTGATGTAGCAACATATGTAAGTCATTGGTGACTTTAGCAAATGCTGTTTTGGAGGAATGATGCAGCCATGTGCCAGACTGGAGTGGATCAGGGAGTAGGGTGGGATGAAATGGAGATTGTTATTTTAGAGAAGTCTGTGAAGCGGTGAAGAGCTGGAGGTGGAGAGGACCTGGAGAATGATGAGTTATTGAATGAATGTTTTATTTTTAATGGGACAGATTTGAACGTGTTTACAAGTCAAGTAGGAAGGATTCAGCGGAGAGGGGAAGGGTAAATATATAGGAGAAAGAAATATAATTAAGAACGTAAAGTTTCTGAGAAGGCAGATGGGGATGAGACCCATCACACAGCCTTAGGGATTAAGCATTATCATTTCTTTAAAAAAAAAAAAATCACAAATTTTAATGACTTATTAAAATAGTATGTTATATAGTAGATGTTTGAATATCCTGAGTGTTTAAAAACAAACGCTAAAAGTAAAGTAGGAAACCATCCAAACTCTATTCACCACTGTACCCTACCCTCTCTAACACTCCAGGCTCATACTCAACTACCTACATGACATGTCCGCTTAAATGTCTAATGAACACCTCACAGCTGTGATGCAGGATTCCTTCCACCACCCCCTGCTAGCCTGTTTCTCTCAATTTCTCTACCTAAGTAAATGGTACTGTCAGTTGCTCAAGACAAAAACCTAGAAGTCACCCTTAATTCTTCTCTTTCCCTCACTTCCCACATACACCATAGCCTTCTGGAACTATCAGGCAAGAGATGAATATTTGAAAGCTTAAATATGGAGGAAACTAAAGCCAAGACAGTGGATGAACTCTCTAAGGGAGAGTGTATGGAGCCTTGAGGATTATTCATAATTAGCAGGTAGGAGGAGGAAGGCAAGCCATGAGAAAGCACCCATATTTCTAATGATAATTTTGAAAACTGAAATTTAATATGAAATAAGACCTCACTCATCAAATATTAATAAATTCTATAATAACAATTTTACTAGATGCAAAATATCCAAAATTTAAAAGACATGATGTTGTTTTAAATAATTATGAAAGCAGGTTTCCTATACTATTTTTAAAAAACTTACCAAATGCCTAAAATTAAAATAATTCTTCATGTTCATAGCTTTTATTATGTATGCATTTTAAAATATAGGTTAGAGTAGAAGGGTACTTTTGAGGATCATCTTAAACTTTCCTTTTAATTTTAAACCATTTAAAAAATTATTTGCATTTTCAAATATAAATAAAAAGTAACATTGTTGACATTCTTACTAGTAACTTTTCAAAATTAAGTGTATACATTGTATAAACAATATTTTTGTACATTTTAAAATTATTAAGAATCAGCGGTAGTAATCTAGAGTCTTGGTGTTACTTAGAGCCTAGGTTACTGCTGAGTTTCATTATCAAGCACATAAATATAATAATTTTTAACTATACACCTAATTATGTTCTGGAGAAATTTCTAGGGATCTGGGTAAAGCTTAATAATTTTTTAAAAATAACTCTTCAGAGTGTCAAAGGCTTGAAGAGCTGTTTAAATTGTTGGTATTTACTTTGGAAGAAAAGCTCCTTCTGCATTATCTCAAAGCACTACCAGTTAGAGGTATTACTACCTGCCAGATAAATTCTATCACCGTTCTGGAACTATAGAACAAATCAGCAAAGAAATTGTGAATACTTGTCACAATATTTAATAATATATAATAGTTGTTTTACCTACAAGCTCTAATGTTCTATCCCAGCCTATAGTTGATATAAATGAATGACATGTAAACCTACATTTTATAGGTAAAAGCAGAATAAAATTCTATTTATCATTAATTTTTGGTCAAGTTTTATCTAATTTAGGTCTTCTTTTAATTTCCCTAACTTTCTTATATAGAGTAATTATTTGGTGTTCATGGCAGAACTCTTCTGGTGGTTTGAAGTGGTGAAGCCATCATTTGTACAGCCTCGTGTTGTTCACCCACAAGGAGGTAATCAATCCTTTTTTTTTTTAACATTTTATTGTGTTTTCAGTGAAGGTTTACACAACAGTTTAGGTTCCCATTCAACAATTTCTACACAAGTTGTTCAGTGATATTGGTTACATTCTCACAATGTGTGAACATTCTTGGCTATTTCTGTTCTGGTTGTTCTTTTTCCATTAATCTAGTTTCCCTGCACCTTTACATTCTCATCTTGGTTTTAAAGTAATTGTTGACCATTTGATCTCATATAGGTGATTTGATAATAATCTTTTTAAATTTAAGTATTCCTATAAACAAACAAAATAGAATAACCTCACCTGGTTATTCCTTTAGAGGGAAGACTATCATTGTTTCAGATTTCAGCTATTATCCTTGATTCTGAATATTTCACTATATAAAACCACTAAATTCTCTGTAAGAGACAGATGATTATGATAGTTAGGAAAGAAAAAAGAGAAAATGGAGACAATGGCTCTGAATTTGAAGCTTTATGATGTGGAACTTTTAGCTTTAACTATTTACCCACTTTTCTTCTCTTTGCATCTTTCACCCTTATCCCTAGCTTTTATTCCCTGTCAGATTCTGAGTTTTTAACATTGTGGTACCCAAAATCCTCTCAAATCATGGCTTAGTTTTTAACCTATGAGTTGAATTTGCCATTAAACCATAAAAAGTTTTATATATATATAAAAAGTTTTATATATATATATAGTTGTAGGGTAAAGCAAAA